TGTCCCTGAGAGCATCTGACCTTTCTCATTCCGAAGGCAAACTTCCGAACATATTCAACAGCAGATCAAATTGGACCCAGCTCTATGATTTCTAACGCCCACATCAGTGAGTCCAATCACAGGAGGAAGAATAAAACAAATAGACATGCTAGCCCCCTTTTCAAAAGTAAAAAATTATATGAATAGTTAAGGTCGTTGATTACGTTCAACTTGTAGGCCATTATTATTATGATCATCGAATAAACTTGCCGCCATTGGCATTATTCATAATAAAATGCTTCGCAAAACAAAAAAGATGGATGAAAGAATAAAAACATGTCACCATATTCCTATCCGATACAATTCATGCTATATACTTATCTAAATGTGTTAGCATTATTGTGTTCATTATATATTTCTCCCTCTCCAGGTCTGTCCGATTACACGGTTTAAACAGCCATTGCTGTATTATTTGAACCTATTGAAAGAATACTTTAAAAAGAAATTATCCTTGAGATTATTACAATGTCTTTCACCTAACCCATCCAACAATCACTGATGCATTCAAACATGAAGAACATGATGACTGATGTTCGGTATTTATCTAAGTCACCAAACCTCTATTGACTTGCCTGTCATGTTCTCAGACACTTTCTGGTTTTGGGTCGTAGATTTTGGCGGGTCTTCAGACTCCCATGAGGAGTGATGCGGTGTTGATTGTTGGATGGATGGGGCGTGGTTCAAGCAGGGAAGCATTTCCTGTTACCAGATCACAAGAGTCTTTATCTCTCTCTCTCTCTACGATTGAAGCACGAGATAAGTCATGGTAAAGTGGGACATCGCAAACGATGTCAAGTGGCGTACATTGTAGCTTCGAGGGGCATGGAGGACACGTCCTCTTAAAAAGACAACAAGGTAGACTACAAAAAAGAGACATGCAGAGAAAGAGAGAGAGAGAGAGAGGGGGGGGAAGGGAGAAGGGAAAGTCAACTCTCCGACCTTGTTCTCTCGCATTAGAGCCACCTGACATTTGTATTGCCCCCTCCTCATAAAACCTTTGCCACTAAAGACTGGACACACGCCGATGTCTGTAAAAGTAAAAAGTGTAATTTAAATTCCATGCTTCTACAGAGATAGAATACACAAACGATCGAAAGAAAATAATTGTTAATGATCGAGAGGAAATTTATTGCAATGAGAATCCTTCTATTGAAAAAATGGGCCATTCTAGTTAATAGTCAATCGTATTTGTTACGTAAGATGACTATAAGAATCCCTTCACCTAGTTGCAAATTATATTATTTGCAAATTAATGTATATTCGCTTTGATTAAATATATATCACTTATTAATAGGAATCTCGTATTCAAGACAGAATTTAGTGATGCTAGAAGCATCGAACCAAGGCTAGGGCGTTGTTAAAGTATGAGTGCATTTCCCGTTATCTGCACAAGACTTCCTTTTCACAACTTTCAAGAAACTTGCTAGGGTATAACTACTATTTTAGAATGTCTCATCTTTACTTCAAGATATATTTTCTAAATCTTTATGCTTTATGATTATCAACATTACAAAATATTTGATTATCCCTCCAACAGAAATTAAAGGAGGATTACGAAATAATGGGCTTGTTTAAGGCATTTTACATGTTTTTTCATCGTGACCCCAAACTAGAAAAGCATTATGTTAACACAAAATAAGTACTGCGGCGTTTTGTTTTTGAAAAATATGATTAATCTTTGAAACACTAATAATTGAAGAAGACAATTCAAACACAAAATAAGAAGATGGGATAGACTGCAAAAAAATTCCGTGTGTCATTCATGCATTTTCCAGTTAACGAATTCCCATACTTTTTGTGATAACCTATACTTACGCAATATCGGGAAGCATATGCTCTAAAATCATTTTCAGAACTGGGGCAATTCTTAGGCCAATTTCTGGGAAACAATATTCCTAGGAAAGAAATAATGGCCGCTAAACCATACACTGAATCTAATTAAATTGGACGGGTTGAAAGCAAATTTCGCGCTTGAGATGATTTGAAGTATCAGAGGTTGGGTCATGAGGCATTCTTTAGAAATTCGACCAAATTGTGGCTGTCTGGAAGAGAAGTGCCCCATAACCGCTACGTCATACTTTTCTTAATTCGGTATGAAGGACTATGAAGGACAGTGCACTGTTTCTTTACAGTTTTTAAATCACCATAACGTGTCCGTCTGACGTTAACAATAAACAAAAGACACTTCGTTGACAGGAATGACAAGACAAACGTATGATTTTACTTGTCGTTGTATTAATTCAATTCTTGTATCCTTGTATCTTGTTTTATATTTATAATATTAACTGAAAAAGTGAAGGGTGTTTGTAGATATTATGTTTGATTTCAATTCGATTTTTTCGGTTGATCCTTGCCAATTGATAATTACCCATAATTATTATAATACCTTTCCCTTACGTTATAAAACTGAATGTTTAATACTAAAATGTAGAAATGGGTGTTTAATTATTCAAAAAGAAGATGAACCACTCTTGATTCGATAAAAACTGCTATGGCTTTGTTCCTCAATATCCAGTAGTATAAACCTTTAAAAAAAAAAAAAAAAAAAAATTGCTCACTTGATGTGTACCCTTGTCAGTCCTTAAATCAAGTTCTTGAATATTGTAAAGAAAAACTTCCGGCGGTTAACCTGCTGGTTGTCTCAAGGAGGGTGACCATTAATGCCCAGTCATTTCATCTTGATACGACTTGAAGGACTCCGTAGGACATGTCTCTGACCCCTCACATACTGTGGCTTTCCTCTTTTCAAAGGAAGTGTTTCATAACGTATGGTGATTGTTCTCAGTCAGTAGTGAACTTCTGAACTAAGGATTAGAATTCAACAACAAAAAAACTTGAGACAGCAGCAGACATTGGGATTTAGATGGTGGAGTTTTGCATATACAGTGCGTCCCAGAAAAAACGAAACCGAGATTTATCGATGCTATATCATAACTTAATCACAATTATTATTAAGAAATGACACGTATTTGGAAAGCTTAGATCCTCCTCTTTCATTTGATGTATCTCATATGATGCATATTACACGCATGGGCGATTAAATCAATTTCCATGCATGAAGTCTTTCGTCTATGGCTGATCGTCAACGAAACGGAGTTAAGTCTTTTGTCGATTCTGTTTGTTGCTACGGCAGGTAGCCAGTGAAAACGAATTTGTTTCATAAAATTATGGAAATGCAAGCATTACTTTAAACAAACAAAACGTTTTTCCTAGCTCATTTTTCCTAATTGAGGTGTCATATGAAAGGGCAGAAAATAAATTTTCTAGAAATGTGACTTTCTCTTTGAAATTCAGATACCGTCCGCCAAATGACTCTTTGGACCCTTTCTTCAAATTAATTTTAATCACTCATGCGTGGAATATACATCATTATGCATCAAATAAAAGAGGAGGATCTAAGCTTAACAAATATGTGTCATTTCTTAATTATAATTTGTGATTAGGTTATGATAAATAATAATAATATAATATTTAGCTTTATATAGCGCTTAATACAAATGTCTCTAAGCGCTTTACAAATATACATAGATGATTCGTTGTTTCTGGGACGCATTGTATAGTAACGATTAGTTGTAGCCGCTAATTGTCGAAAATGTATATTCAGAATTATTATTTTTAAAACCATTGTCATGTCGAGATACAGGCCACAAATATATATTTTAAAAATATTGATGTAACAAGATTCATCAAATTATACTATATACATTTATGGCGCCATCATTTCTCCTTCCTTTTTGTGTCGTCCGGATTTTTTGTTAATTGCTTGTCTTGCTGAAATGAAGCTTTTAATAGTTTTAGCCGTAGAAATGCAAGTAATCCCAAATGAAACTCTACAGCGCCAATCGTGGTTACCACTAAAAGAGATGCGGTTAATAATTAGTTACCTCAACTTGTTCGTGGCGTCTTGCGGCTTCCGTGAGTATTGTGGCCCTCGTATTACCATACCCTCTCTTTCTTTCCCTCTCAGTTTTTCTCCTTTCTTTTATTTTTCTCTCTCTCTTACTTTTTAATTCTCGTCATCTATCATTACTCACATCTATTTCATTTCCATGGTAAATAACAACACTAGTAGTTTGATGTGATCATTCCACTTTCATCATTAAACACAATCGCAAAAACAGGGCAATTTCAGTATTATCTATAGTACGTCATAGCAGCTTAAAGTGACTAGGTAACATTGGTGACACGACATTTGCTCCTGCGACAATTGCTCCGGGCTTTATTTCGTCTAAGATGTAGGGTTAGGGTTAGGGTTTCAATAGGGTTTTATGTTAGGTTTAGGGTTAGGTTTAGGGTAGGGTATAGTGTTGAATCCAGGGTTGAAGTTAGCCATTCGATTAGTGTATGAAATTTACAGCGGAGCAATTGTCGCCGGAGCAAATGTCATGGAATCGGTAACATTGCCTCAGATTCTGAATTAAAATCCTGGATTTAGCTCTTGCTGCAATTATAATTATAAACCTTTAGGTCAGTCAGGAATCCCATGACTTTTACAAGCCGATCACCTGCCTGATTATCAAGCTATTTATGATTGACACTACAGTCTATTGGGGGAAATGACTATGGTAAGACCGGTCACTCAAGGATTTTTACTTTTCGAGGCACTTTGTGATCATTTTGAAGCGCAATTTGTTTAGGGCTTCAATATTACACCATATCACATACACTGATAAAACGTAGGGCCATGCATCTCAGATTTAACATTGTTAAACGATGCCTTTAATGTTCGCATAATCAGCTGATGCACAAGTATTAGCTTAGTGGAATTTCCTCAGCTTTTTGTATGGCCTTTGTGATCGTGTAACAATTTTCTTTATCCACGTACCCCCCCCCCCCCCTCACCTAAATAAATATAATGCTGTCATTGTAGATAAAAGTCATAGGAACCAATTTTTTCCTCAACTCACATGATTTCTTAAATTGTGGAGAGAAAAAAAAGAAACAAAAACATATGTACTTCATAAGTAGAAAAGTATGTACAGCATTTTATTCAATACAAGTAATACCTGATTATGATACATTCATGAAAGACTAGTAAAATTGTAATAAAGATAATGAAAAAAACAGATCTCTCGCATGTCCCCCCCCCCCCCCATTTTCTATTACAGAAAACTATACCATCGGAGCCTTCGGAGGAGTAAACTAGACACAATTTAGGTAGCTGGCTTTGGGTTTGACTAGTAAATTGCTGTGGTCGAAATAGAAACATATTCTACATTTCACAATAACTGTAACATGCAAGTATAATTTTGGCATGGTTATGCAACAATGAAATATCGATCTATCGGGCTATGTATAATGCAATGTTTATGTTATCAACGATGACACGTTGAAATAAAGAAATATAAATAATTGTTCACAAGGTAATGTGGAAAGAGAATTCTTATTGGCATTATCAATTAATTGAGTAGTCACTCTTTGTGTTCATAAGAATGTAATATTTGGAAGTAAATAATACATTTCATTTGATAAAAAAAGACGAGATATGTTTTATATTTCATCTGATACCGCCTAAAAATACTAAATAACATAAATATATTTAAAGGTATAGATTGACGAGTATGGAATTATCATTATAAAGTAAAGTAAAGTTATACTTTCCAAGAGGGAGGAACTTTTAAAAACAGGGGTTGCACCCGCGGTTTTTACTCTCAGTGACATGTTCATATATCAACAAATTGTTATCTTTGACAACTGTGGTAGTTTATTTTTTATTTTTTTACCGTTTTCATCGTGTCAGTTAATCCACTGAGATAAATAGATTACACCATGAAAATAAATGCGGAAACATTGAAATGACTTATATTCTATTTAGAAATGCAAGATCGAAACTATTACAAGTGAAATGCAAACATATTACCACACATGTATAATCATATAGCGATAGGTTTATTTGCAATCGAATATAAACTTGTATTATATGATAACCAGTAATATACAAAACATTTAGAAATCGACTTTGTGTTGAATAACGACTCGACTCTACTATCAAAATTGACATAGTTGAAGATGGTCCCGTGACAGTAGTCCTCTTTCAGTCTTCTCAATATCCTTATCAGATCCGGCATTGTTGATTTAACTTGTAGATATTGTAGATATAGGGCCATAAAGGGATGAAATTCCTAGTCAAATTCTCCTTAAATGAAGGTAAGTCCGGTGACACTAATTTACATTTCCCTCCTGTTTTTATATTTAGCACGACCAATAAATGTCTCATCAAATGTTATTTTCAGAGAGTACGAGTGAGTTCGGCTGACTTCTGTTCCTTCTCCTGGAAGTTGAATCACCCTCAGTCGGGTGGAATTTCAGCTTTCCGCTGCCTGGATATAAGGAGGAAATCAGGAAAATAAGGCGGTGAGGCGAGTAAAACTTGACCTGAAAGAGACTCATGAGAGAAACAGGAGCCAAGGATGAAAATATCTTAGGATGTGCATCCGTTGCTTTAAGATAAAGAAGCAGATTTAGTTCTTCATCAAACCATGACCGTAGACTTTGGAGAAATCAACTAAATGGCAATTTCATAGCTATTTTTATATTCATATAGGAATCATGTACGGTTTACGTAATATGTCTTCAGAGTCATTGTAACGTCATCACATTCCAATAGGTGTCGGACAAGGCTACTTGAGCCTAAGGTTGATGTTTCGAAAGAATTTTCGATAGTTTTAATTAATGTTCGTGATTGTAACGGATATAATAATACCAAAGATTGAGAACACAAATGGTTAATACTAAATGAAGAGATAAAGTTACCTCCTAACGATGTATACCACTGCGGACACGACTCCGATGAGGATAAGGATGATAATGAAGAAAGCATACCAATGCCGCTGTCCCCATGACTGTTGAGATAGAAAAACAGCATCGATATATCAGTATACTGAAGAAAAAAAATCTTATAAATCAATAAATCCGTCGAAAATTATACATTGATTGCAAATTGAGACTTTTCAAAGATAAATGATATTTGCGCTGCATATATTGTGAATAACACAAGGACAAAATTTGTGTATATTGATTAACTCTAGTCGATAAATGATTGACGGATTCTCCCCTCCCCCCTCCCCAAATTCAAATAGTATGCTCTGGTAATAGGAAGTCTTTAATTGACAGGGCAGGTAGCTATGACGATTAATATTCCCAATGTTAATACTCATCATGGTTCATCACTATAACGTGCAAAGGAGCGAGGTAAAGGTCAATACCTTCTGAGAAAAACAAAATAAGAGAGAGAGAGAGAGAGAGGGAGGGAGGGAGACGAGGGATTTTCTGTGACTATCTGTGTCTCATCAGTAAATTAATCCCACCCCTGTATTAATCTTTATATGACTTGCATTGCAGGGGGTAATTCTCATTAGGGGAGCATAAGGGTGTCCCGTCAAATTTTGCTCTTTCTGGGGAGCTAGGGATCAAGAAACAAGGAAGTTTTGTCTTCCGTTTCTATGGCAATTTCCTATCCGCATGTTGTCAATTTGTCCATAATGGTTTTAATTTGTATCCCCTTCATCATCTCATGTTACGGATCTGTAATGTCTTATCCTCCCACGTTATCCTGCTAGGTTTAACTTTGACAAGAACTATCAACAGTGAAGAAGGCAGGGGGTGAGGCTTTAGTAAAGAGAGAGTTGAGGGGAACATTTTCGGCCATCTTGTCGGAAACTTTAGTTCTTCACCCCTTCTCCATTTATAATTGTCTGACGACATACATACGAATATGATGCAAATTAAGCAAGCGGTTGTTGACTCCACAGAAGAAAATGTATCGAATGAATCAAACCGGGTACAGTTGTAGGAAACAGGAACATGGTTGCGACATGAAGTGTGGACTAAGTTTTACGATATGTTCACTAATGTTGCCATAGTTCTCATAACAAGAATAGTAATGAATGGTGTACTACTCCTTACTAAAAGTGAAATTGTGCCTTATGCCCCTCAATCATTCGGGAACGCTTTTACCGAAGAAAACACAAGAAATTTCGTTTTATGCAACATAAAGTTGATGAATTTACACTTTCTTAAATTGTATCAGGAAAATTTGTGGTTAGTAGTCATTGAATTCAGAAGTGTCTTGCATTGCCTGATACCGTAAATTCTACTCAGTTAGATTCATGCAAAGGTATTGCGTTGGGGTGGGTGTATTTGGATAAGTATGACAGCAGAAATCTCATGCAACATCAACCATGATGAATCATCAACCTAACGTCAAAGGTCTTTCCGTCTATTTCCCAATAGAACAATTCACAGGTAGCAAACAAACATTGAAATTTCCGGGACAATTACGAAATCTACGCTCCGTTTCTATGAGTAAATACTGAAAACAGCAATAGCAACATACAGCCATTTCATTTAAAACGAAGGTTGATCGATCGTCTTACAGGCAAATGAAATGGTTTATTTTATAACATTAACAAAGGATAGTTGTATACGCTCAGTGCTTGAATGAGTGGTTACCTTCGGGAAACCATATAGTAAAACATTTCCATATTCATGACGTTCTTCTGATTTTCATTTCATGAAATTAATATTAAATTTTACAAGCATATATTTAACCTTCGTTTCATACCTTCTTCTTATTATTTTTATTAACACTGATTTCTATCTTCACATCAGGTGGCATCTGCTTGTCGACAAAGAGGCGATAAGGATGGATGAGTTTGTTGACATGGGCTTGAGGAAGAGCTCTCAGCATCAGTGATAGAGAATCGCGATCGGCAGGCTTATCATCCAGCATGGCGTAGATTGTTACGTTCGTAAATTCCATTCTGTAAAAAAAAATGAAAAAAATGACATAAATCAAAACGATGAGCTAAAGTCTCTAATAATTAGATCATAGGAATAGCCATCTGATTAAAACGATGCAACTTTCATAGCCATTGCAGCGATTTACGCCATTATTTAAATCTAGGTGGTCTAGGAGAGCAAGCAATACAAAAGAAAAATATGTAGTTTTCCGAAGATTGAAGGATTGAAAGTTATTTTTATAAGTAAATTGTATACATGGTAAACAGGGTCGTTCAAAGGTTTTTATTTCAAAGTGCGCTATTATATCTTATTCGACAGATTAAAATGTAGAAGTAGGATGATATCCATTTTCACTCATCTAATGGATAGACAGGTTTCAAACTTTATATAGATATATTATGTTTCTTATGTTTCTCTTAATACAAATGATATCTTCAGCGCATCAGCTAGTCAGCAGCACTACATGACTGAGTCGTGATTACCCTGATAAGGCTCCGTTGCCTGTCGTCGTGTCTATTATAGCGATGTCCACATTGGAACAATTATGGATGTCCTCAGTCTTCCCCATGGCTTCCATTAGTACTTCCTTCATCTTGTACTCCAGGCCGCTCAGTTGTGAGTGCTTTTCCTCAATCAGCAAGCTAGCTGTGATGTTCAGTAAATCTAGAGCAAACAAGGAAGAGATGGTTCAAATTAATATGTATCCTCCGTCACCATCGTTCCCATTGTGGTAACTTCCTTCCAATACCGTTTTTTAAAGGTACTATATTCCCATTTGCAGGCCAACGAAATGAAAAGGTTAAATTCCAACGGCATTCGAAATATGATACTAATTTAGAACTCCCCCAAGACAAAAAGGCTTGAAAATGTTTTTTTGTGGAAAAATAACGACCGTAATAGTTGTCGAATCTAATTTAGCGATCGCGGTCGTTTAATTAAATAGTCGGACCCTTGTACTAAATGGTTGTAGTTTTTTGCTGCGCAAAGAATCAATCAGTTTAAATTTGGCAATTAAAAAAAGTGGGTTATTGATGTAGACTTTTGAATAGACAGGATAGAGTTTTATTTTATCACTTCGCTTGGTATTACTTACATGTCTGGCATTCAGTTCCAATAAATCCACGGTTGCATTTACAGCTATATATGACGTCATCGTCAGTTACTCTATCGATCAAACACTGACCGTCGAAGCACTTGGTCGACCCACAACCGTCCTCATCATAGTCTTCACAACCCAGACCCGAATATCCAGGAGGACAGAGGCACCTTGGAATGTCAAACAAATTAGGCAACTATGTTAATTACCATGCAGACTATTTTTGTTTTTTCTCGCTCAAACATCGTAAGAACCAATCTGAAATAAAACAACCTTTAAGTGTCTTTAATACATTACCCTAAATAGATATGGATGTTAGATTTGATTACCTGATGATAATAACTTTTCAAGGCAAGCTTGATTTTTAAAGCGCCCCCTATCCCATTGACATTTTCTTCAGGGAAACATAATCCTCATCATCCAGTTTGAAATTTAATAGCCTTTAAATAATTTAAGTAGGATTATGATTACCTGAAATCGTCAGTTCTGGTGACGCATGTAGCATTTCCATAGCAAGGATTGAGCTTGCATTGATCAAGAACAGCCTCGCATCGGATACCCGAGAATCCTTCTTCACATTGACAGATGAATCCCGCAGTTAGATCAATACAACTCCCACCATGAAGACAAGGATCACTTTCGCATTCGTCTATTTGTATCTCACATAACCAACCTTCAAAGCCCGGTGGGCAATAGCAATAGAAACTGTTCACACCATTTAGGCAGGTTCCATCATTTTTGCATGGTTGGCTGTCACATTCGTTGATTTCAAATTCACAGTGCTCACCTTTATAACCAAGAACACATTGGCATTCGTAACTGTCGATTCCGTCGAGGCAAGTTGATCTATATTGACAAGGGTCACTAGCACAGTCGTTAATGTTTATTTCACAATTGATTCCTTCGAAGCCAAGAACGCATTCACATGTATATTCTTTAAATCCATCCACACAGGTTGCATTATTTTGACAAGGATCACTCTGACATTCATCGGTTATGATTTCACAGTGGTCTCCTTCATATCCTATGGGACATTGGCAGTTATAGCCATTGATTGCATCCTGGCAAGTAGCACCATTAAGACAGGGATCACTGATGCATTCGTCGCGATTTACTTCACAATTTCTTCCATAAAATCCCTTAATGCAATGACAGCGGTATCCATTTAATCTATCAAGGCAAAGGCCATTTATGCACGGGCTACTGATACATTCATCGACCTCATCTCGACAGCGCGACCCCTGGTAACCAGATCTGCATTGGCACGTGTATCCGTTCAGGCCATCAACACACCTGCTGCCGTGGTAACATGGATCACTCTGGCACTCATCAATATCAATCTCACAATGAGCACCCATGAACCCTGGACGACATCTGCATCGATACCTATTCACCCCATCTATGCATCTTCCATAGCTTGAACAAGGATTGCTTTCACATTCGTTGATATTCGTTTCGCAATGGGCACCTTCAAAACCCACTATGCAGGTACAGCTATATCCATTTATAAGGTCCTGACAGGTACCACCATGCTGGCATGGAATGCTCGCACATTCATCGATATCTATTTGACAGTCGTTACCACCAAAACCCTCGACACATTCGCAGTCGTATCCATTGATTCCATCAAAGCATGTTCCACCGTTCTGACAGGGTTGGCTGTTGCATTCATCTATGTCAACTTCACAAGTGACACCTTCATATCCCGCAGCACAGTCACAGGTGAATCCATTTACTTCGTTGATGCACTGTCCACCATGACCGCATGGTGCGCTCACACATTCGTCTAGCTCAAACTGGCAATGTACACCATAATAGCCTGGGAGACATTCACATCCATACCCGTCAATTTTGTCATAGCAGGTAGATGCAAACTTACATGGGTCACTTGCGCACTCGTCGATATTGATCTCGCAGAAGGTTCCTTCAAATCCTGCATCACACCGGCACATGAATGAATTGATCTGATCTATGCAGTACCCTCCATTGAGACAAGGAGAACTTTCGCATTCATCGATATTCACTTGACACTTAGATCCCTCAAACCCTGAATCACAAAAACAATTGTATCCATTTACTTTATCAAAGCATGTTCCGCCGTTCCTACAAGGATAGCTAGCACATTCGTTGATATCTACTTGGCAATTGGTTCCCATGAATCCGTCCAAACACTCGCATATGTATTGGTCGATGTTATCCAAACAGTTGGCTCCATTCTGACAAGGTGAGCTTTCACATTCATCTATATCATTTTCACAATGAATACCATCATATCCTAAAAGACAGCCACATATGTATCCATTAATCTGATCTCTACAGGTCCCTCCATTAGCACAAGGCTCACTTACACATTCGTTGATATTTATTTCACAATGTGTACCTGAAAATCCTGGTCTACAATCACAAGAGTATCCATCCACTAAATCTATACACGGTGCCATGTTTTGACAAGGAGAGCTCGCACACTCGTCTATGTCGACCTCGCAATGCATCCCGTCGTACCCGACAGCACATCGACATCTATATCCATTCATACCATCTTTGCATCGTGCCCCATTTTGGCATGGCTGACTTGAGCATTCATCGATATCAATCTCGCAATGAGTACCTTCAGTTCCGGGATTGCATATGCAACTATATCCATTGACATGATCTACGCATTCAGAGTCATATTGGCATGGGTTACTTAAACATTCATTGATATTTGTTTCACACCCTACACCGGTAAAACCGGCAATGCACTGGCACTCATATCCATTGACTCTGTCCAGGCAAAGTCCCCCATTGTAACAAGGAGAACTAGCACATTCGTCAATATCAACTTCGCATTGCGCTCCATCGAATCCAAAAGGGCAAAGACATACATATCCATTGATCTGGTCCTGACATCTGGCTCCGTTTTGGCAAGGTGAGCTCTGGCATTCATTTATATCTATTTCACACAACTCTCCTGCATATCCAGGAAGACAGGAACACCTAAACCGATTCACTTTATCTGTGCATGTAGCACCATTAAAACAAGGATTGCTCTCACATTCGTTGACGTCCGTTTCGCAGTGAATACCTTCATATCCAGGTTTACATTGACACTCATATCTGGATATGAAATCAAGACAGTCTGCTTTGTTTTGGCATGGTTCGCTACTACATTCGTCGATATCTATCTCGCAATGAACGCCCGTGAATCCCGGTTGGCAAAGACACTGATAGCTATTAACCTGGTCAAAACACACACCAGCATTCATGCAGGGATCACTTGCGCACTCATCGATATTAACTTCACAATGGACTCCTTCAAATCCATCTTGACACAAGCATTTGTATCGGTTGACTTTGTCCATGCAGATGCCATCATTAAAACATGGCTCGCTGATACATTCGTTAATATTATTCTCACAATTCGCACCATTGTATCCTGCTCGGCACAAACACTGGTATTCGTTAATCATGTCATGGCAAGTCGCTCCATGTAAGCATGGGTCACTCAAACATTCGTCAGTATTAATCTCACAATAGGTGCTTTCATAACCTGGTACGCATTCACAGTTGTAGCCGTTCACATGATCAAGGCAGCGGGCATCATTTTGGCAAGGATTGCTAGAACATTCATCAATTTCAATTTCGCATTGTACACCTTCAAATCCAGCAGCGCATCTGCAGAAATACATATTGATGTCGTCAATACACTCACCATTATTCAAACATGGGTTGCTTCTGCATTCATTTATGTTTTCTCCACATAGTGTCCCTTCGAACCCTGGTACGCAACTGCATTCAAATCGATTTACAAAGTCAGTGCAACTTCCGTTATTCAAACAAGGTTGACTGGAACATTCATTGATATCAGTTGAGCACAAGGTTCCATCATAACCATCCTCGCAGTCACAAGTAAACCCGTTGATTTGGTCAATACAGAGAGCGTCATTTTGACAAGGCGATGATTGGCATTCATCAATGTCAATTTCACACAAATCACCGGTATAGCCTGGTTGACAATGGCATACATAATCATTTACGCCATCCTCGCATTGCCCGTCGTTCAAACACGGATTGCTAGTGCATTCATCAAAGTTGGATTGGCATTCCTTACCACGAAAACCAGCAACACAAATGCATTTATATCTGTCGACTTTATCCACGCATGTAGCATTGTTGTGGCATGGATCACTGGCACATTCGTTTATATCGACTTCACAAAGGACACCTCGGTAACCTGGAACACATGAACAGGTGTATCCATTAACCTCATCCATGCAGGTAGCTCCATTTTCACAAGGAGAACTGGCACACTCATCAATGTCTGTTTCACAATGGATACCCGTATAACCAGGACTGCATTCACACTGGTATCCAGCAACAGAATCTACACAATTTGCTGAATTCATACATGGAGAACTGAAGCACTCGTCAATGTCATTTTCACAGTGCACTCCTTCAAATCCTTCTTGGCATTTACACATGTAACCGTTTACCTTGTCTTTACATTTGCCATCGTTGTAACAAGGTGCACTAGCACACTCATCTATGTTGTTCTCACAGAGGATGCCATCATACCCATCTGCACATTGGCACATGTATCCATTGATCTTATCGAGACAACTCGCACCATTCAAGCATGGGTTACTTCCACACTCGTCGATGTTAATTTCACAGAGAATGCCATCGTATCCAAGGTCACAACTACAAGAATATCCATTCACTTGATCCACACATGTAGCACCATTTTCACAAGGTCCGCTTTCACATTCGTCGATGTCCACCTCACAATGAATTCCTTCAAATCCAGCAGTACACTCACAAACGAATCCATTGATTTCGTCCCGGCAAGTTGCTCCATTACTACAAGGATCACTGCTGCATTCATTGATATCAACTTCACATTCGTTTCCTTCAAAGCCAGGTCGGCATTTGCACTTATATTTGTTCACTCGGTCGATACAAGTTCCCGCGTTTTGACAGGGATCACTATCGCATTCATCTGTATCTATCCCACAAAGGATTCCTTCATATCCAGGTAGGCATTCACATTCGTAGCCATTTATCATATCTACACAAGTAGCTCCATGTTCGCATGGTGATGAGGTACATTCATCGATGTCAATTCCGCAGTGAATACCTTCATAACCTGGCCAACATCGGCACACATATTCGTCCACTTGGTCGATGCAAGTTGCATTGTTCAAACACGGACTACTATCACATTCGTCTATGTCATTATTGCAGTGACGTCCATTGAATCCCTCAAGGCATTCGCATATGTATCCGGCAACCAAGTCTACACATCTTCCATCATTAAAACATGGCTCGCTTGTGCATTCGTTAATATTTGTTTCACAAGTCACTCCTGCAAATCCTGGAACACAAGTACACTCGAATGCATCTATCATGTCGATACACGGGGCACCATTAAAACACGGGTTGCTGCCACATTCATCTATGTTAACCTCGCAGTGAGTACCCTCAAAACCGTCCAAACACCGACATTTGTATCTGTTCACTCGATCAACACAAAGTGCCCCATTCTGGCATGGGTCACTTTCGCACTCATCAACGTCTGTTTCACAGAATGTTCCTATGTATCCTGGAACGCAGTTGCAGTAAAATCCATTGATGTTGTCTATACATGTTGCTCCATTCTCACATGGTGATGACGCACATTCATCAATATCCGTTTCACAGTGAATCCCTTTAAAGCCTGGAAGACACTCACAGGAATATCTATTAATTTCATCGAGACATGTGGCATTATTCTGGCAAGGCATGCTACTGCATTCATCTATATTTACTTCACAAAGGATACCTTGAAAGCCAGCAAGGCACTGGCATGTAAATTGATTTATTTCATCAACACAGACGCCGTTGTTTCGACATGGTGAGCTTTCACATTCATTAATGTTAGTTTCACAGTGGATTCCTTCAAATCCTGGGACACATTTGCATTTGTACCTATCCACACGGTCTATGCAAGTTGCGTTGTTCATGCAAGGGCCGCTCATGCATTCATCAATATCCACCTCGCAATGTACACCTGTAAAGCCAGGGTTGCAAATGCATTCATATTCGTTAACGAGGTTGGAACAGACAGCGTCGTTCTGACACGGATTGCTAGAGCATTCGTTGATTTCTGATTCACAATGTATTCCTTCATATCCTGCTAAGCAATGGCACGTGTATCCATTCACTTTGTCTTCACATGATGCGTCGTTCATGCAAGGTGAGCTTGCGCATTCATCAATGTCAACCTCACAGTGTGTTCCTTCATATCCCGGAGTGCATTCACAAACGTACTCATCGATCCTATCCAGACAGGTGGCATCATTCTGGCATGGGTCTGAATCGCATTCATTGATATCAATTTCGCAGTGGGTACCAGTATATCCTGGTAAGCATTTACACTTGTATTTGTTCACACGATCAATGCAGCTAGCACCATTTTGACAAGGTGAGCTTTCGCATTCATCAACTTCATGTTCGCAGTGAGTACCAACGTATCCTGGATCACAGTTACAGATATAGTGGTTTATCTTGTCAGAACAAGTGGCTCCATTTAGACAAGGATCAGATCCGCACTCGTCAATGTCTACATCACAGTGTGTTCCTTCAAAGCCGGGTTTGCAGTCGCATTGATATCCATCGATACCGTCAACACACGTGGCATTATTCAAACATGGATTGCTTTCACACTCTTGAATATTCATCTCACAAACCATCCCGTTGAATCCTGGTTGGCACTGGCAAACGAAATGGTTGACGTGGTCTTCACAAAATCCTCCATTTTCGCAAGGGTCGCTTTCACATTCTTCCACGTTTACTTCACAATAAACACCTGAGTAGCCAGGTAAGCAATTGCACCTATACTTGTTGATTCGGTCTATGCAGGTTGCACCGTTCAAACAGGGATCACTATGGCACTCGTCTATTTCAATTTCGCAATGAACTCCTTCATATCCGGGACGGCAGTGGCATTGATAACCATTGATCAGGTCCTCACAAGAGGATCCATGTTCACATGGATTACTTGAACATTCATCAATGTCTACATGGCAATGTGTGCTTTCGAACCCTGGCAAACAGTTACAGGTGTAGTGGTTGATGTGGTCCACACATGTAGCGTTATTCTGGCATGGAGAGCTAGAGCATTCATCTATGTCAGTTTCGCACGTGACTCCCTCAAATCCAGGGACACAAACACATTCAAACTGATTGATTTGATCTAGACACGAGGCCCCATTCAAACAAGGACCGCTAGCACATTCATCGATATCCACTAAACAATGTGTACCTGCATATCCGAGGAGACATCTACACTTGTATTTATTGACACGGTCAATACATTCGGCACCATGGAAACAAGGAGAGCTTCCACATTCATCAATGTCATTTTCACAGTGTACCCCATCAAAACCAGGAGCACATTTACATCTGTAACCATTGATACCATCCATACACAAGGCCCCATTGGAACAGGGGTCAGACTGGCATTCGTTAACGTTTGTTTCACAGTGTATTCCCTCAAAGCCGGGAACACACATGCAGTAGTATCCATTTACCGAATCTGCACATATGGCATTGTTGAAGCATGGATTACTTGCGCATTCATCAATATTCTTTTGACATACTCGTCCGTTGTACCCAGGTAAACAACTGCAGCTAAACCGATTGATATCATCATTACAAGATCCTCCATTCTCACAAGGGGAGCTTTCACACTCATCAATGTTGGTTTCACAGTGTGTCCCTGTGTAACCCGGGACACATTCACATTTATATCCGTCTACCTCATCAACGCACAGAGCACCGTTGTCACAAGGGTCGCTTGAACACTCGTCTATTTCAATCTCACAGTTTGTTCCTGTGTATCCTGCCTTGCATTTGCATCGATATTGATTGACTTTGTCAACGCAGAGTGCACCGTTTTGACAGGGGTCGCTGGAACACTCAGCAATGTCCGTTTGACAATGTACTCCTTCATATCCAGGGTGACACGTGCACGTATACTCATTCGTTTCATCAACGCAAGAAGCACCATTCTCACATGGTGAGCTGGAACACTCGTCAATATTAATTTCACAGTTCGGTCCTTCGTAACCTGGTGAGCATTTACACTGGTATCCATTAACGCGGTCTTTGCAAGTTGCGCCATTTTGACATGGGTCACTCTCGCATTCATTTATATCAATCTCGCATTGTAAGCCAGTGTATCCAGGTGAACATACACATTCATACCGATTGATATGATCAATACATGTTCCGCCATGTTGGCAAACAACACTTGCGCACTCGTTTATTTCTACATCACAATGGACATTGCTGTATCCTGGACTACAACTACATGTATACCCGTTAACTTCATCCGTGCATGTCGCACCATTCACGCAAGGCAAAGATGCACACTCATCTATGTTGATTTCACAGAAGATACCGTTATATCCTGGTGTACACTCACAGATGTAACCATTCACTCCGTCAACACAAGAGGCATCATTTTGACATGGACCACTCGCACATTCGTCGATGTTAATTTCACATTCCAATCCTGTAAATCCTGGCTTGCAAATGCAGGTGTATCCATTTATTCCATCTTCACATGTTCCTTGGTTCATACAAGGTGCACTTTCACATTCATCGATGTTAATTTCGCAGTGAATTCCTTCGAAACCTTCTTCACATTCGCATACGTATCCATCGACTCTATCGAGACATCTGCCATCATTTTGACAAGGATCGCTGTAACATTCGTCGGTATCCGTCTCACATTCGGGTCCTTCGTATCCGGGAAGGCACACACATATGTATCCATTAACAACATCGACACACGGTGCTTCATTTTGGCAAGGATCACTGTTGCATTCATCTATTTCAATCTGACATTCTGCACCTTCGTACCCCGGTAGACAATCACACCGATATCCATTGACAAGATCATTGCAGGTGCTGTCATGAATGCAAGGATTACTTGCACATTCGTCAATGTTTAACTCGCAGTGTACTCCATTGTACCCAGGAGCACAACTACAATTGTAGCCGTTAACCCCATCTAGGCATTCCCCTCCGTTAAAACATGGATTACTTTTACATTCGTCCGTGTTAATATGGCAGACTTTTCCTTGATATCCTTGGTTACAAGTACATTCAAAGCCATTGACTTCATCAACACAGGTCGCTCCATTTTGACAAGGATCACTGGCACATTCGTTGATATTAACCTCGCAATGTTCTCCTTCATAGCCTTTGACACATCTACATTTATACTTGTTAATTCTGTCTATACAAGTGGCATCGTTGTAACAGGGATCACTTGCACATTCATCGATGTCAGTCTCACAATGAGTACCGGTAAACCCAGGAACACAGAGACAGATATATCCATCAATACCGTCGGAGCAGATAGCATTGTTGTGACAAGGATAACTGGCACATTCGTTGATATTGAACTCGCAGTATGTCCCAGTGAACCCTGGGGGACAGATGCAGGTATAAGCGGCATATCCATCGACACATGACGCTCCGTTTGTACACTCGTTCAGTTGACAGTCGTCGGGATTCGTTTGACACACATTGCCTGAAAATACAAAATCGGAAACAGTATTGTGTTTAAATCATTAGAAAGTCTGGAGTATATTTGACGTAGCCATTATATAGGAAGTTTATATAGGAGGTTTTTGCTATTTCATTGAAAGGTACATCAAGGTTCACTTAGACTTTTATGAAGTAAACTTTATTTTCTATACTTACCAGTCGTACCCTCTTGACATGTACACCAAAAGCCGTTCACCACGTCGTGGCAAGTTCCGTTATTTTGACATGGCACCGAAGCGCATTCATCGATTTCCTAATGGAAGAAAATGTCAATAATAGAAAATTGAAACAAGCCTAGACTGAAGTCTCATTTATAGTCACACTGATCAGACACATTATGATGGGGGATGTAAATAAGACAATGAAATGGAACGACATATGAACAGATTCTAACCGTACGCCCAACTCCTGCGCAAAATGAATCGAAAAAAATACTGTGATTAATGAATTAATATTTAATAATTAAGAGATTTCTCCTACCAGGTAGCTATAGACCTGGGTAGAGAGAGATAGTTATAGCATAGCTGAACACCTGAACCTATTGCCATTGTGAGTCAGAATTACTAATATCTCTACCGCTCTTTTCCTGGTGTGTACCTACCTCTGCACACCGGTGTCCAGTATAACCAGCATCACAAATGATACCTCCTGTTAGAGGGTCACAGTAGAAGTGATCGATTCCATCTCCTCGGGGTCGGCAGAAGACAGAACACTCTGGACCATAGTAATGTGAATCACAGTATAGTTTAACGTCTATAACAAGCCTGAGGGAAGAATAAAATGAAACACTATATTGTAGTAAAAACTCATTTCTAGGGGGAAATACAGGCACATAAAGACACAGTTGAGTTATTGAGAACTAAGATACTTCATGTATTATACAATGTATATTGAATATCATCCCTCGTAAACACACCACAAAAAAAATTCATGGGTTTATCCTTTTAGGTACCACATCAAGTACTCTTGTTCAGGCTCACTTTATATACTTCAAGCGTCAAGGCCAACAAACACAGAGTCCATAATGATGTTTCTCATATAGAATTTAATAAATTAATTTCCCGCATTTTACGCAGCTGTCTTCCCTTTTTGTATACCTTGGACTGAACTTTACAATAATCATTATGTAAATTATAATAATGTCTTGTTTACCCAGGATAACCTCTTCAGTTTTAATATTGTCTCACTGAGGGTCCTGCAATCGTATTATTAACCCGGCTTTAGCCAAGCTACCATGGTAACGCCCAAGCATTCAAGGAAAGTCTTCTTACCGGGTACCCATTTACTACACCCGGGTTGATTCATATCTTCCTAACGGACATTAGTGTCACGACGGGACTCGAACCACGAACCACGTGATTCGCAGTCAAGCGACGTATCCACTAGACCACGACACGACTTTATCATACACTTTCAAAAGATCAACATTTATATAAAAAAATATTTCAAAAAGGGGAAAGCACTGATAAATGTCACACTAACCTGGAAGAGCCTTCTCCATCAAGAACCATCCTGTTCTTACGAGCTCGTACCGGACTCCTTCCAGGTCGCATATGGAAGTTGCGCCTGTAGACATCGACCAGTATTTCCGGATCGTAGTAGGAGTTGGTATCCATAACATTCATTTGCAGTCGAAAACCTCCCTGTAAGCAAGATGTGAATATTTTGTTTGTGTTATACATATAATTGCGTACCTTTAAGATTAGCCGTCTCAGCAGACTTAACTTTAAAAAGGACGAGGGGAATTTTCAGATCACTAATGACCAACTGTATGATACCGCTGCTCCCAATCTTCTTTGTTTTAAGTAAAAGCGAGCAACTTACAAATAAATTCAAAACTATCTCTATAATCCTTTTATTCTGGTCACCAGTAACTATGTCATGGTCAAAGGAAGTGCAGTGGCTTAAAGTAATGTAAGAACGTCAAATAAACCATACCTTCCATTCTTCAATCCTGATGATCATCGGGTTGGGTACACCACCAGGGAGTGGAGTAGGAAAGAGGAACAGGTCCCGATCCTCGTGTATCTTCCTTGTTTTATACTTTCCAAAAGGACAGTCTTCAGTGGTAGTGTCGCTGAAAAAAAAGGGGGAAATGGTTCGAAGATTGTATAAAGTACTCGAATTAGTATCGGTATTATAATAGTTTTTCCAGAAACATATTGTAATTGAGTAAGTAAGAAAATAAAATAAAAGCGTAGTTTCTTAACCTATCATTAGTTATCACAATTCAATAGGTATCGTGACCACTTACATTTACTAAAAGTAAGTCTACCTGTAATGACCAATCTTGGGTCAGGTTAAAATATTCTCAAGTACGCAGACGTGGCTGAATGTTTGCGACGACAGACATACATAGGTATGAATGTAATTTTAGTGAAAATACCATGAATGGACAAAATGCATTAGGATTATGAATTGCACTTTTTTTAGGCAATCTTCGAACAGTTAGCTACATGTATATATATCTGTGTTTGTTTTACACCTACAAAATTAAACAAACAGCAGAAATTACAACCCAATATCAACAAACCCATACAAAATATATTTACTCATTCATTTTTTCTAAATGTCTTACTTTCCAAGAGGCCCGAAGCATATTTCAAATTTGTTGTCGCACTTGGTATCACATATGTCTGTAGAGATGCCATCGCAACAGACACCATCGAGCTGCTTACTTGAAGGATTCAGGTATGTTAGGAGATGAAACGTCACGATTACGGTCGCTCGGGTAGAAATTATGCCCTATGAGTGGAACAAAGCGAAGGAGACATGGGTAAAGTCATTCGTGTAAAGCCCACCGCACATTACAAGATCGTCCTGCGATCCGATTTTCGAGGTAATGGCAATTGTTTAGCATATGAAATCTAAACAAACGTCATCTTCCTGATTTAGCTTCTAAATAATGATAAGAATACTAACAACCTGGAGTTTAGTGCCTTGAACTCTTCTAGTGAGAATAAAAGCCGAATCGGCTTCACATCGTGGTCAATCGCACTACTGGTCTGACGTCACTACGATTCTGAGCCGATTTAGCCTTTTCTCTTCAAAGGAAGCATGAAATCCCTTGAGATTTAGATTTCCTCTATCATAATGTTTATTCAGCTCCTCGGTCATTAGGATTTTACTTTTTTGAATGTTCGTATCAAATGCTGTTGCTAATTCTCCAAAAAATGGATCGTATAGCTTAATCGGTGAGCTAAAAACCAAGATAAGTATTCAAAGGACACGTTCACTCTTGTTAACAGGAATTATCTGTATAAAATATTTATGTATTAAAATTATGTAGATGGTAATACAATATCAAGATGCCAATGTAGATGTAGATATGACATGTACTTAATTATAGATGCCCGGATAGATGCTACATGTAGATCCCTTACTTTTCCTGACATCAAACTGTCACACGTAGATTTAGATGTGCACTCAGACGTCACATGTTCTTGCTGGCTTAAATGCAACATTGGAATTACCTCATTTTCCCTAAGCAAATAATTAAAAAATGTTACTAGTTTTCTAGTATTCATAAAGAATCGCCCAACTTTTCCTTTCGAAAGTATAAAATATCAATACTTGGCAACCACAAAAATAAAACGATTTTCGATTTTAATAATGCTGTTGGAAATCATTTTATTCTGGATAATTCTCAATATCAGCGTCGACTGATGACTGAAAACTCAATCAGTAAAATCAACGACACATGGACTGTTGGCTCTGTTTGCTTTGGTTTGATTGAAATATCTTTTCCCTCATTGCCCGAGATTGTGATCACTGGAACGGTTCCAAAAGAATGCAGAAATGGCAGACCCAACTCAAGCGTTTCATAAGGAATGGCAGAGCTTAGGATGTTTGTTCAAATGTTTAGATGAGGAAGGAACTATTTGCTAAACATCATGCCTACTGCAGTCGAATAAAAGTTTACAGCTTACCGCTAAAATTAATTAAGCACTATTTTACGCCATGCCTTCTTGGCATTAACGTGATCCGTTAAAAAAAAAACATCTAGACCATCGGAGTTCAAGTGGCTCGATCATCTGGCCCTGCCCCAAAAATAAACCAGCCAAGTTCCGGAACCATAGGGCGACCAAGCTTTTCACTACCCTATTCTGACTGGTGGAGTACCTCCCTCTGGGGATACTTGCGGATATCAGGTTTGACAGATATACCCCCACACTGGCAATAAGAAGGAGGTAGCTTGGGGCTTCTACTTCCCAACCACGATCCTAAGATTGCGTAGTTTAGTCTGAAAATCATGATTTTTATGCCATCAGTTACATCATAAGGGGGAGAAAGGAAAAAAAAGTCATTACATTAAATCTATACAACATTTTGAAGTCCCCATGCCGAAAGACACATCGGTCTCTTTCTGTAAGAAAAGTACCGACATTTTGCCTTTAAAGTAAAGCGGAATTACTGTAAAAAAAAATAAACCAGCTAGCTATCGTCTACCATGTCGGATAGGGACGTTTGTCTAGTTCTGCAGAACGGCAAAACTGCAATTCTGCATTGCGTAATGCTTGCGATACATCTACCTTATGCACTGCACATGGATCAGTGCGCATCATTAAAGGATCACGCCTTCTTCGAAATCCCAGTAGCGATATATAAGATTCTAAATATTTTGAAAAAGTACGTCTGTTACAGGGGTTATCAGGTAACTGAAAGATCGTCTTCTGGTATTTGTGACATCGGTTTCTATCAAGACCTAACGGTTAGCAAAGTTTGTGTTAATTTGTTTCCATTACGTAATCTTTTAGTTTTTAGATACCCACATCCGATAGCACGCCACACTAAGTCACGATTCATCAATATATGCAATGTCTGTGAATATATGTGCCAATATTACTTTGTAAAAAGCAGTAATGAATTTGCAAAATATCTTCCAGAACTTGCCTTTGAAAAAAAAAATACTTAACCATGTTCCGTTGCCGTATAAAGATTAGAATTTATATGTTTATAAATTGTTTCCGATGGTTGGTCGTAAAGATCAAACACATAATCATTTTATGAGAGGTGCCTCGGCTAATGATTATAAAATCAATCAAAGTTATAGTATAATGTTATATAGCCTTTTATAGGGTTGCGTAAGGTCTCTTTGGGACCATCAAATTTGCCCGGGCAGACTCCATGTGACCTATTTTTAGTAGAGGTAAAAGAAAGGGAATTTATTATGGAAGAAAATTAACAGCCTACAGAAAAGAAAAAGTTTTTTTTTGTCTCCCAGATCAGAATCAATATTTTACAATACGGATATTACTAATCGCATCGGTTTATGTGGTATGTTTCCCACTGTATATGCACGAACATTCTGGGGGTAACGTAGGAAATGAGGATATTATCGAATTTGTTTCAAATATGATTAAAATAAATCGTGAATTTTTTTCGACTTCCGAATAAAAATTGCAAGTAATTTTGTTCGGTCCAAGTTATGTCTGTCAAGAAGTAATTCGCTTTGTCATCGATACCAGCCAAGAAGCCAGGGTTTGTGAGGCTTGCAAATCATGGTAATTTCGTCCGTATGACAAGCGTTCCCATTACACTATAATGGTATACATCAGGAAATGTCCAATAATAAAAGTAAAACTACTGAGGGAGAGCTGTCAGCTAGTTCCGTCCCCCGTTTTCCGGTGTACAGATATTTCTGTTGATCAATCACCTTGGTAACATGAATAAAATAAAACGTGAAATGTAACTCTGAATCCAAGTAATCTTTTTCTAATACATTTATCTTTAATATATGAAACAGGTTTCCACGATGAAAAATATTCATTGAAAAGGAAATTGTAAAGCGCTTAGAGACATTTGTAATAAGCGCTATATAAAAATTAAATATTATTATTATTATTATTATTATTATAATTCGTTGAACTTGTCGTCAAATCTTATACATGTAGACACACAAAGTGGGGTATTTAGCTGAAAAGTTGTGGATGTAGTAAAACATTCTAGTTCAAAGGATAAGCATGTCAAAGGGAGATAAATGAAAGAGGAAGAGACAAGATGAAAACGAGAAAAAGAGATATTACACAAGACGAAGATGAGAAGGAAGGAGGAAGAGAGAGTGAAACTGTTTAAGTGAGGGAAGAGGACAAACTTAAAGGATTACATAGTTGAAATGAAACCAAGATGTACTGGATTTCCGCGATAAAATTCTTGTGATTATTCACATCTTCACATCTGCGGGGGAAAGTTTACTACGAGTTACGATGCGAGAATATGACCTAGATGAAATTGAGTGGACATTTCCTAGTGAAAAGTATTGCTATTTTTATCAACACATCGACACCCCCAACGGATTCGGACGGAAGAAATTATATCTGTTTTGGATTATTTTGAAATTATTCAGATTCTGTTTTATTTCAGTAAAGGGTCAAGAAAAAAGATGACCAATTTTTGTATGATCAACAAAGAAAAAATATTTTAGTGCTAGCTAGTAAAGGGAATTTTCATGAATCAATGGTGGATGTACTAGACAACTCTTCCCTGGCATTAGCTCATAAATGTGTGAACGTTTTGTGAAGTCCTCTCACATTGTTGACGGTGAGTCATTATCAATTAATAGAATCTGTCAACTTATTGAAGAAACGATAATCAAAGCTACGTGAGAAAAAAAAATGCATATACATATCATTTTTAAGGCTGTATTCACTATCTATCATAATAATAATAATAATCCGTTTTTTTTTATAGCGCTCAATACACCGATCCAACGATGTACCTAAGTGCTTTACATATATATTATTACCCCGATCATCGGATTCAGGGGTACCCGCACACAATGTGTGCACATTTTCCACTCCCTGGGGAGCATTCCAGCCAGTCGCCATTTTACAAGCGCACACTTGCTCGTCCAACCACTAGAACGTTCGCATCCTATATCATTCATCATTTAATTGCTGTTTTTGTCTTGAAATATTCAAATTATATACTTCAAGTCCCAAGGGCAGTGTTGCTCAATTAGGTGATACCAAATGATATTTCCCCCATTAAGCCCATAATGAGGAAGCTCTTCACGATTCTTCATGACTGTTTATAATTGAATTATGAAGCCTACAAATTGTTCCCCAATCCGCAGCTGATCCCTAACTCTTAACAGGGTAGTACTAACATTTTCAACGCTTGATTTAAACACTTAATATAACTAACTGCAAGCGACAACTGTTTGCGTTTTATCGGGGAATTATGAAAGATTGCTGCATTACTGATTTATTTGGGAACATGATTAGATTATTCCCCATAGGTACCTCAGTCACACCGCCAGACCAACCCTAAAACGACTCAAAACTGACCCATTTTTGGCCTTTAGAGGTAACGTCATGTGTTTTTGTACTGGCTGTTGTCAGTCTGGTGTCTGTCTAGTTGATGCGAAAATAGGACCAGTCTGAGAATAATTGTCTGGGTATTTACATATTTCATCCTTTGTCCCCCATTCAACGGCTGAGAATGAACAAACAATATTCACATCAGCAAAAAATGATCATTTTGACACAAATTATTTATCTAACTTCACAAACCCATTCTACAAGAAGATTGTATTACTTTATACTTATCATCATCATTAATAGAATGCTTGGACATTTACTTTTAATTTACTATTTATTTCCTCCATCTGTCTATCCCCAACGATGATTCACCTGTGTGATGTTCATGACTAATCGTTATATATAGTTATAAAACTATACATGTGCTATGTGAAATTATTTCATAGTAAGGGATAGGGGCGGGTTCAATTTTCATCACGAAAT